GAGTCGGGTAGAGTATTCCAGACATTGACCACTCTATTGCTGAAGTCCAACAGGAGTCCCCCCCTCCCTTCTTTTTAAACCTGCTCTTGTAGTCCACAACCTCCGAGGACCGTGGGAAACTTCCCGAGACCCCCAAAGAGAGTTTTCCCTCCAGTTTCCCCCCCTCCTCTTGGTCAGGGAAAGCAGAGGCGGTCCTTGGAGCGGGACTTCTTCCCCTTTCCAGCCTCCTGAGAGGAATGCTGGCAGCGAGGAGGGGGCCCACGGGAAGCCCCTAAGCCCCTGCCGCTCAAACCTTTGCAAAAAACAAACAAACCCTCGCTTTTCCTTTGCACTGCAGCGGAGCCCGGACAAGTCCCACCCAACCCCTTGCTAGCCAGCCAGGCCCCTTTTTTTGCTCTCATTGGTCATTCCGGCCTTCCAGTTTCCTGGTTGAGAGCCCTGGCTGCCGGAGGAGCGGAGGGGAACCAGGCTAGCCCACAGGGAAAGAAGCAGCCACAGTAGCATCTCCAGCTGGCGGCGAAGTCCAAGGATGCTGGCGCTGAGGCATGATGGGAAACTCCCGCGGTCCTCATTGCCGGGCGGCTCTTCTTCGCTGCAGGTTCCTCCTGGCTGGCCTCAGCTCGGGCTTTCTGGGGAGAGGGGGGCTTTTACCAGGGAGGGGTCAGCACCCAGGAAGCAGAGGCTGAGCTCCAGACCCCCCCAGCCTTGGATCCCGTAAGCCCCGCCCAGACCAAACGATGGTTTGCTTGCCGCAAACCATGGTTTGTGGCGAGAGAGGTCTGTTTTGTGCAGTGCTAGAATAAAAGACACCAGGGCTAGAAAGTGGGAGATTAGGAGTTCTAGTTCTGCCTTTGGCACATAAGCCTGCTGGGTGATCTAGGGCCAGTCACTCTCTCTTGGCCCTAGGAAGAAGGCAATGGCATACCAGGCAGAAATCTTGCCAAGAAAAGAATAGAATTCTTTATTGGCCAAGTGTGATTGGACACACAAGGAATTTTGTCTTTGGTGCATTGACCTGTTGATAAGGTGTTATCTAGTATTGTAAGAGATGGTACTATGGGAGGGTTCCTCCTAAAGTTTACCACCATTTCTACGGTTTTGAATGTGCTCAGTTCCAGATTGTTCTGGTTACACCACGAGGCAAGTTGTACAACCTCCCGTCTGTATGCGGATTCGTCATCTCAAATGAGACAAATCACTGTTGTATCATCTGCAGTAGTTTGTTTAGCAAAGCATGCTTAAATCATGTGCTCTTAGCAAGTCGCCATTCCTCGGCGTTGCTTCATTTCCCTCCAGCGTCCAAGAAACACTTTAATTTTTTTAAAAAACTGCTTTTTTTTTTGCATTTTTTTTCCCTTCTCTCTGCCTACCAGCAACCAAATTTCTTACCCTTTGAGTTTAGGTTTAAAATACCCTTCTACAGAGAGCATCAATCCCCTGGTTGGGTAGACATTCTCCCCTCTGTTCAAAAGATGAATTCTCTGTAGATCTACTCAGAAGTAAAGCCAGGAAGCTCCGCTGGTTCATGCCCACTGGGCCAATGTCCAAAACTGCTTGTTTCTTTTAGCAAAGAATGTGTGTGTGTGTGTTTCTTCGAGACTGAGGCCGTTTCCATTCTGATTTTGCTTTTTCAACCCTCCCCAGAATTGCAAGACGCTGCCTTGATGGAGAGGCCCAGGCAAGTCAGATTTTCTTGCCCACCCAAGATCAGCCAATCTTCAAAGGTCTGGTTACTTTTATTTCCTTTCCACCTTTTCTCGGGGGTTCCAATCGCAGCGTGTTTTGAGAGCATCCAGGTGGCATTGAAGGGTTTTTAGACCCTTAGTCAGCCTCTCCTTCTGCCCCTTCCTGGCCCTTGCTTTGCCACTTTGCCCTGGGTGACAATGCATTCCTCTGGTTTTTGCGGCTAGTATATATGATTGTGTATGATTTTTAAAAAGTAAAAAAAAAGGTATGTTTGTGTGTTTGTATGTATGTGTGTATCAGTGGTAGGTTTCAATTTTTTTTTACTACCGGTTCTGTGGGCATGGCTGGGGAAGGATACTGCAAAATCTCCGTCCCTCCCCACCCCACTAACCTGCTTTCCAGCTCCATTCTCCTGTTTCAGGGTAACCAAAGAAGACCCAGCCGATCAGCTGGGACTCAATGGGAGGGAAAGAATCAATGGGGTTGGTGGGGCCAATCAGAGGTGGGATTTGCTGGCTCTCCGAACTACTCAAAATTTCCGCTCCTGGTTCTCCAAAACTGGTCAGAACCTGCTGAATACCACCTCTGGGGTGTCTGTCTCTCTGTGTGTGTGTTTTGTGTGTGTGTGTGTGTGTGTGTAGTGTAAAAGTAAAAAGCTAGTACATATTATTGTGTAAGTTTCTAAAAAAGTAAAAAGAATATATATTTTAAAAAGTTTTTAAAAGTATACATATACATACACACAGACATACGCACAATGATAGAGGATTTCTGGACTTTTACACAATAATCGATTCTAGTTCTTTACTTTTACGCTAGTGTAAATATCCAATCCTCTGCTCAAGCAGGAAACATCAACAATTTTGATTGTGCAATTTCTTCTTAAAAAACCTCCTCTGTTGAAGCATTCAAAATTTCTGGAGGCAAGCATCGGTTAATTGTTCTCACTATCAAGAAATTCCTCTTTAATTCTAGGTTGCTTCTCTCCTTAATTAGTGTCCATCCGTTGCTCCTTGTCCTGCCTTCAGGGGCTTTGGAGAATACCTTGATTCTCTCTTTTGACCTACGATGCAAACTTATGAGCTGGTGTATGAACTCACCCCTAATTTGCAGGTTGTATTTTCTGATCCAGTTTAACCTCCCTTCAGGTGTACAAATGTGACCACCCCAGCCTCGTTCTTCAGAGACTAAATGAACAGAGAGGTTGCAACCTCTTCTGCGATGTGGTTTTAGTGCTGGAGGAGGAAAAGGTCCCCGCTCTCCGGAACGTTCTAGCCGCCTGCAGTGACTATTTCCACACCATGTTCACGATCGGCATGCAAGAAGCTTATCAGAAAGAAGTGGAGCTCTTTGGCGTCACTTGCCTTGGCTTCAAAGCCATCCTGGACTTCCTCTACGGCGGCGACCTGTTCCTCGACAGCGGAAATGTTGATACTATCTTGGAAACTGCCCACCTGCTGCAAATCTGGAAGGTGGTGGATTTCTGTTGAGAGTACTTGGAAAACGAGGTTGACAAAGAGAACGACTTGTACCTCCAGGAACTGGCTTCCATCTTCAACCTCAAGCACCTGGACTCCTTCATTGACGCGTTCATCATGAAGAACTTCAATACCGTCTCACCCATGTCGGACTTCCTGCAAAACATCACTGTCGAGAAACTCTGCCATTACCTGGGCAGTGCAGGCATGCAAGAGGAATGTGAAATCAACTTGCTGAGTGCGGCTTTGCGGTGGCTGGTGCACCACCGAGAGTGGGGAAAGGAGGCCTACCGAGTCTTGGAGAACATCCATTTCCCTCTGATCCCTAACCGCTTCCTGCACTGGGTCAAGCTGGCCATCCCCTGGATATTTCCCAAAGAAACCCGCTGCGAAGACATTGTCGAAGAGGCGATCCACTACTGCAGCCAGGTGGCTGCTCAGCCTGTCCTTCAGAACAAGAGGACGGCTCTCCGGAGCCAGGAAGAGAAGCTTCTTTTTGTCGGAGGGGAGCATGGCTTGGAGCTGAGCAACGATATCTGCTTCCTGGATCCCAAAATGGGACGGTGGGAGGAGGAGACGCTGCTGCCCACCAGACGGAGCAACCACAGCGTTGCAGTTCTTGGAGGGTTTATCTTCCTTTCTGGTGGCAGCTTTTCCTGCAACAATGGTAAAGCCTCCAGCCTTCTCTATAGGTATGATCCTCGGTGTAAAGAGTGGATAAAGGTGAGGCTCAAGCTCTGGTAGATATTTTTTCTTTCTTTCTCTGTGTTTGGAGACGCCGAAAGTTCTCGACTTATGACCGCAACGGAGCCCAAAATTTCCATGGCTAAGAAAGTTTAAGTTTAGCCCCAATTACTTCCTTTCTCACCACAGTTGTTAAGTGAATTGCTCCAGTTGTTAAGTTAGTGATATGGTTGGCAAGTGAATCTGGCTTCTCCATTGACTTTGCTTTGTCAGAGGGTTGCCCAAAGGAGATCACGTGACCCAAGGATGCTGCAACCGTCATAAATACGAATCGGTTGCCAAGTGTTTGAATTCTGATCATGTGACCATGGGGACGCTGCAACGGTCATTAAATGTGGAAACCAGTCGTAAGTTACTTTTCTGATGCCGCTGGAACTTTAGACAGTCAGTAAATGAATGGACAAGATTTCTGCCACCCCAAATAAAAACCGGTGTTTTCTTAACTGGGAGGTTGGGCTCCCAGCAGGCTCTGGCCTACCACTCTTGGAATCCTGGGAAAACCCAAGTCAAGGAGAGACTTTAATGCTTCCAAAGAGGAGTGATAAATATATGGGTTGGTTTCACTGCGTTCCTGGTTTCTGTGGATCTGGGGAAAAAGTCTTTCTCAAAAGGCCATCTTTGAAAAAAACAAAGCACAAGCACCTGGTTGTAGCAACCTATCAGGGCCCAAGCAAATGATGTGTATATATACCGTATTTTTCACAGTATAAGATGCACTCCCCTGCCTCCCAGCAATTCGCCTCCTTGCAGCAAACAGCTTGTTTCAACTTCAGCACAACCTGACTAGCACAAGGATCATCCTCCCGACTATCAGCTGTTTCAGGCTGCAGGGATTGCCATAGCCTATTGCTGCCTTTGCGTGCCCCATTTTTGCCCTCCGCATCCTGTTTTTGGCTTCCATGCATCCCATTTTCGCCCTGTTCTGGGCGACGGGGATCGGAACAGGCGGAAAACGGGGTGTGCGGAAGCAAAAAATGTGGCACGCGGAGGCCGAAGATGGGTGCGCGGAGGCAATAGGCTACGGCAATCCCTGCAGCCAGAAACAGCTGATTGTCGGGAGGTCGATCCATCTGGCAATCGGTTGCTTGTGCTAATCAGGCTGCGCTGAAGCTGAAACATGCTATTTGCTATCTGCTGCAAAAAGGCAAGTTACTGGGAGGCAGACTTCCACCCCCTTGTTTTCCTCCCCCAAAGCTAGGTGCATCTTATACTTCGGAGCATCTTATACTCCCAAAAATATGGTATACTGTTTTTAATGGTTGCTTTCTGTGATGGATGACCCTTGGCACATTTTTTGGCTTTTCTCTCCCGTTCTCAGCTCACCTCAATGAGGCAACAGCGCGCAGACTTTTATCTCAGTGCCATCAGAGATATGCTGGTAGCTGTGGGTGGCAGAAATGAAAACAGAACACTGTCATCGGTGGAGACATAGAGCCCTGAGAAGAACACCTGGTCCTATGTTGCCAGCTTGCCCAGGTGAAATGGAGCAGATGATGATAGAATACAGCATCCAATTTTGGTCACCGTATCATAAAAAAAGTGGTAGACCTTCTGGAAAGAGTCAGCCACTTATCCGGCATGGCATAGTGCCTCTACTTGAGTAGGGAGTTGGACTAGAAGACCTCCAAGGTCCCTTCCAACTCTGTTACTCTGTTAATTCAGGCAATTATAGTTGTGACTCATCTGGAAAGCACCAGATTAAGGAGGGCTCTGGATCAAGGAAATTGGTAGCATTAGAATCCTCAGCTGTTTCCTACTACACACACATCCCCTCCCCCTTTCTGCTCTAAAGTTTTTAATTCTCTATCTCAACCCTCCCTCCCTCTCTCCCTGAGGCACTAAGCTGAAGCAACCCACAGGTATTTTCTTGCAAAACAGTCTTGAAATTAGGCGTTGCCTTCAGTTTTTAAGATTACCAGTTGCTTAAATTTATATCACAACCGATATATCACCAAAGGCACTTGGGCAACCGAAGTTTGCACCCAAGGGGTCCAAAATAATTCCATGTGGGTCACATAATTCGGATTGCATGGATTTGCACATTGAATAAGGGAAGGATCTTTCTTTGTTCTCAGATCAGAGATCTATTGTAAAGCAAAATTCAAAAATTCCAAGTCCCATCATAGCCATAAAAGCTGGCTGGCTGACCTTAGGGCAACCCTCTCTCTCTCAGCTCAACCCACCACACAGGTGGGTTGTTGTTGAAAATAGGAGGGGAAAGGGTGTTAGATATATTTGGTGCTTTGAGTTATTTGTAAAAATATTTGTGAAAATATTGAAGGCCTTGAGTTATTTGTAAAAATATTAAAGGTGGGATATAAATAAATAAAAATAAGTCTTGCAGTGAGAGAGGAAAACCATTGCACTTGGCAATATGTTAAGTAAAATCAGATTCTTAGCTGAACTAGAGTCCTTATTTGCGTTTATTTATTGAGTTTCTAACAAGGGACTCTGGGTGCTTTACAGTTCTAAAAGTATACAAAATGAACACAAGTTACCAAAGAGCAAAAACATCCCGAAAATAAATAAACCCTATGCTCGGTTTTTAAATGACAGCCAACCTTTATTCTTGTCTATTTGCATGGGTGAGTTTCGACTCTTAGCTCTGCTTGTTATCTCTACGCTCTTTTGGATTTCAGTCATGGATCTGAGGAACTCCACGCAGCCGGGCATGCTCTGTTAACACCACAGAGTAAATAATTAAATCTCAAACGGGTTTTTGAAAACATCCTCTCCCCTCCTGCTAGGAAGGGCCACTTAAAAGTCTCCTTGTTTTACTTACAGCCAGAATCGGAACTGGAACTTCCATTGCTAAATGAGGCGGTTCTTAAGCGGAGTTGCACCTGATCTTATGTCCTTTCTTTCCGTGGTGATTGAGCAAAACACCACTGTCGTTAAGTGAATTGCATGGTGGTTGAGCGAATCCAGCTTCCCCTATTGACTTTTATCAGAAGCTGGCTGTGAAGTTTGCAAAATAGTCTTTTCTTTGTTAATTTTCAACCCTACTAATTTACTGAATTTATCTATTTCCCTTAATAATATTGGTCCTCAATTTATTGGATCTTCTATAATAAATACCATATCATCCACAAATGCTTGTAATTTATATTCTTCTCTTTTAATCTTTGTTCTTTAATTTCTTTATTCAGTCTAATTCTATCCAAGTGTTTCTTGTTATAAAAAGTTTTTTATATGATTGGCATCTACACCCTCTTTAGGAATTAATATAGGCCTCCTTCCATGATTCCGAAATTTTTGCCTCTAGTAATACCTCATTGCAAATCTCTAGTAACAAGTTTTCTAATGGTTCTCCTATATCAGGGGTGGGCAAACTTTTTGGCTCGGGGGCCTCATTGACTTTTAAAATTTGACAGACGGGCCACCACCTGGTGTCGAAATGCCTGTCATTACAAGTCAAAATCAAATGAATGCAATCATTCAATCATTCACATCAAACCTTAATTCTGTACCAATCTTCGGCGGGCCGGATTAAAAAGACCAACGGGCCGGATGTGGCCCGCGGGCCGTAGTTTGCCCACCCGTCCTATATCTTCATATAATTCACCTGGGAGACCACCTGGGCCTGGGGTTTTGTTGCTTTTTTGTCTTTTAATCGCATCCTTCAACTCACTTAAGAGATATTTCCTTATTTAATATCTCCTTCTTATCTACCAGTAACAGATGTAACATTCTTTCCTTCAGATATTCTTCTATTTTGTTTAAATCTACTATGTCTTGATTATATAAGTTCTCAAAGTAATTTCTTACGATTATTTTCTTTTTTTCCAGATCCGTCTCTACTGTTCCATTATTATCTTTCAATTGGTATATGGTTCTTTTTTGGTTTTCTTTAACTTATAAGCTAACCATCTACCGGGTTTATCTGCATACTCAAAATGGTTTTGTTTTATGTATTGTTAATTTCTTGGTTAAATCTTCCTGGTCTGGAGTACTTCATTGAAATATCTTGCTTTCAGTTAAGAGGTCCCTGAAATATCTGGTTTATTTACCCTAATGACAGGCATGTTGTGCTTTGGCCTGAAGATCATATCAACACTTGGATGTCGTTTAAATGATTGGATGTAAGATTAGCCCTCTGTTCCAGGCAAAATGCATTTCTCGTTAATTTGAGGAAGACTTTATTAATAGAAGACCCTGTTTTGCTAATATTTAGCTGGGCACTTGGAAGTGGTTTTACTTGAAGGAGCTGAAGAAGGGACAGAGAAACGTGAATCTCTGTTTTGCCTTTGACACAAAGCCAGTTGGGTGACTTTGGCCAGTCCTTCTCTATCAGCCAAAGGAAGATAAAGGCCACTTTTGAAAATATTGCCTAAAAAAACTGAAGGAACTTGTCAATGTAGTCTGTAGAAGTAAAAACATTGGGGAAACAACAACCTTTGAGAACTCATTTGTATAGAAGTATTATTCTTTCCCGTAAACGGAGCTGATCATTTTTACAAGAATTGCTCGATAAATATTAGCTTGGAATGATCTAATCTCCTTTCCTCCAGATCTTTTCGTGTGTTTAATCCCGAATTTGAATTTCAAACAAACTATTTCCAAAGAAGAGTTGGCATTGTTCCACCTCAATTGGCCAGGGTTGCTGCTTTCCATCACCAGGGTTCTGAAAAGGAGGGAGTGAAGTGTAATTTTGTAAAAGTGAGTAATATTGTCCAGGCATCATATGAAATGTCCAGCTGGATCACATCCAGTGTACCTGTTTTCTTCAGCTGTCCAAAATGGGATTGCAATATCATTTTTCCCTGCCATAGAGAAAAAAGCTGGCTAAAGATAAAACATTGCAAGAAAGTAATGCCATGTTGTATGATAATTTAAATAATTCCAAAGCAAAGGTCACTCCTTAGTTGCACTGATGATGTAACCTAGTTGGGTAATGTCTGCAGAAAAACAACCATACTTGGCACCAGCGACCACTCCTCATTTTAACCCTTAGCTACAAAATTGGTTTTAGCAAAAAAAAAGAAAGAAAGAAAGAAAAACTAGCCAGCCTCTCCATTCAGGTGGCCAATTCCGACAACACCCCTTTCCCTGGTGGTGAAGATCGCTCCATCCAACACGTGCTCTGGGTAAAGCCCGGCGCCTGCGCACTGCCAATGTCCCAGTCGCGCATGTGCAAGGAGCCACACCTCTCTCCACTCCGGGGCAAGCACAAAAATGTATTCAAATAAGCGTTCATGCGCAGACGGCTCTCCTCCCTCGCGATGGCCGAAATGCGCGTGCGCAAATGTCTCCGTTGTTTCCCCCACCGCTCTCTTGTTATATGGACACCCGTTCCCCACCACTGAGGAGACGCGTGCCAACCCTTTCCTTCGCATTCATTCATACGTTCATTTCCGTAACGAATCAAGTCAACTCTCTGCCAGGGCATCGTGAGATAACAACTCCCACCACGATGCCCAAACCGGGGCCCCTCACCGATCAATGACTGACGCTATAGGAAACGCCTCCTGAGGCGAACCACGCTTGCGCAAGACGCCTCACTCTCCGTCCTCCCTCAAATCGGACCGCTCCGACGCTTCACCGCGCGCCTGCGCAGCCAGCAGTTGGCCTCCTTTCCCGGCCTCATCTGTTGGAAGGCTCATGCGCAGAGCGGCGGCGGGGCGGGGGGAGTGGCCCACCCAGAGCCGGCGAGCCCGCCTGTCTGAGCGCAAAGCGCGTGTCGTAGAGCGCGCGGGCCACTAGTGCGCATGCGCCGTGGCCGCCCCTCCCCTGCCCGCCCGCCCGCCCGCCCGCCGTGTGTGGTGGCGGCCGTGCGCCTTTGCCAGCAGCGAGCGAGAAGATGGCGGCGGCGCCCGCCGCGTGAGGCGCTGAGGGAGACGGCTGAGCCTCGCCGCCGCAGCCGCCTTCTCCCTCAGCGAGGGGCCGGGGCGCCATGGCGGTCCACGGCGCTCAGGTAAAACCGCCGAGAGGCCCTCCCGACGGGGCGGGAACACGCTGCTGGGCCGGGCCTGACTCGCGCCTGCAGCCTCGCGGAGCCTTTCAAAGGCCCGGTGACGCTCTTGGGCGGGGGAAAGGGTCGGGGCTGATGGGCTCTGCGGTGCTGGGCCGAGGAGCGGGCAGAAGCGGGCCTCCCCTTCCCCCACGGAGCCCTCCCGTGGGGCGGCCGTTCGCTGCAGGGCCAGGGCGAGGCGGGCCCGCTGGCCGCATGGCGGTCAATGGAGGAGAGGGACGGCGGGCGAAGGCCCCACAGGAGGCTCAGCCGCCCGGCCTCGTGGAGGGCCTTCCCTGCAAGGCTCCAGCCGGGCGGCCTGGCTCGGCTCTCCACCGCCTCCCACCTCCTTCGCCCGGGGCGTTTGGGGCAGGGCCAGGGGCGTCTTCCTTCCAGGACTGGGCGCGGGTTGGGGCTTCGGGACGCGGCCCTCGAGGTGGGTGGGGGGAGATTTCCCTCGCCAGGGAATGGGTGGGCTGCCCTTTGTCTTGAGTGGGGAGTGGGAGGAAAAGGAGGCCTCGTTCTCCTCG